CAATCGTCTGTCAGTTTTCTCATTTTCGTTATTTTTATATTAAGTTAAAAAAAAAAATAATTTATGCGATTTTTTATGTTAGGTTCACTTTTTCTTTTTTCTCTGTGCGCATATGTGTGTGTGTATGAGCGCACACGCATGTATTCGTGTGTGTCTGTCTGTGTGTGCCTCTGCGTGCGCGTATGTGTACAGGTGTAAGATGACGTGATTTCTGTCAGTGTATGTGTGTACGTAAAAGTGGGAGAGCTTCCGATTTGTGTATCATTTTAATAACTGTAAGACAATAAGCGTCACTTTTGTTGCTTAAGAGACAATCAAACCAAACACTAATTTACGTATCTCCTGCTTATACCAGATTTGCCTCCGTTTAGCGTCGCACTTTTCTATTTCCCCAAAGATTACTTTTCATGCCTTATTCGAATGTCAACTCTCTGATGGCCGTCTACAAGAACAAGAAGACAAAAAGGAAAGAGGAAAGAAGAACATGGTATCTTCGTGTATTCCACCTCGAGTTCTGCATTTAATAAAAGCGTTATCGCTGTCATCCTGCTAGCAAATTTTTGAAACCTTAAGATACAGAGGATTAGTTGCTTTGTTTCTATTTCCTGTTTGTTTTTGTCTCGTATGTAAGAGCGTGTTCTTTCTCGACAAGAATCCACTAAAAGGCTTAATAGATTGGAAAGTCAATAAATGCAATCATTTTGATCATCAGCAAGTCTAATATTAACACTGGGATTTGTTTCAAATCACACCTGAATAAATCGCCGAGTTTTTCCTACAACCAAACGTGTAATTTAAGCGAATAACATTTTTTTTTCTTTTTTCAAAAGATACTCTGTGCGTGAGTACAATTTAGTAAGGTGTGAATACACGCGTAGACACGATCAAATTCCAATGGACGCTTGACGCTCATACACTCTCTCTATGGATAAAAGATTGTATATTTTTATGTTGCTTACGTATACATTGCGTTCTCTTCCATCCAATAAAGAATATAGATGAGACACACAAAATCACTCCGTTAATATAAGTGTTTTTATTTTGTTCTTGATTTGACCTGTCTCTTTGTAATTTTTTGTCGGAAGCGCAAGGGAGATAACTATGTTATCTAGTTTGCATTGCCGACGACATCCGATATCTTCATTAAAAAAATAAATGGCATCAGATGTTGAAAAGATTGACTTCGTAATAGAACAAATTGCTCAAATAATATCTGTAAAGATATCCTTAACTATTCAATGAAGAATATATTCTAATAATAGTAAAATATAAGAAAACATGACATAACATTTGATGGCATTTATAAACTATTTGTCTGGTTGGGTTGGTTTGGTTTGGTTTGGTTTGGTTTGGTTTGGTTTGGTTTACAGTATATCAACCTCCACTGGTTATTTAATGCCGACAAAATTTTCATTGTTAGTAATATTTTCTTCCAAAATCTATTTTTGGTAATATTTTTTCTCTCAAAAAAATTATTTCTAGTAATATTTTTTCTTCCAAAATCTATTCCTGGTAATAATTTTCTTTCAAATATAAATATCGCTGGTAATATTTGTTTTCCAAAAATGTATCGCTGGTAATAATATTTTACAAAGTATTTCTGGTATAAAATCCTACTTTTACAATTTCACAGAGTTTTGACCCCAGTTTGGGAGTTAACTATTTGCCCATAGCTGGGTCACTGACAGGTCTACCACGCCTTGTTAGTGTGTACTTGGGAACACCAGCAATGAAGAGGTGATTCTACGCTCCTCAAAACATCCTGATAGAGACCTTGCTCTTGGACGTAGTTTATCGTCTTAGTCAGGACGCGGACATAGTTCATCATCATATACAGGACGCGGGGCGGGGACTGGATGATTTTGTTTAGCGGCATATCAACTTCTATTTCATGCCGAAATCAAAGTATTTTGAACGCAATTGTAATTTGTTGGTCCTTTTGTTATAAAATGTCTTGATAATTCTTTTTATATAAACATGCTGGTATTTTTTTACTACAAATATTTAATTTTATATTTTCATGGTGTTCGTTTTTGTTTTCCAATAGCTGGGACCCTAACAGGTGCTACCACCCTAGGTCTGGGTGGACTTGGGAAGAACAGCAATCAAGACGCCGAATAGCTCGATCAGAGGTTTTACTACCGGTGTATTTTATCTTCATACCCAGGAATATTGCAAACTAGACTGATATATATAGTTATTTTCTAAGCGTAACTTCGATGTGGCACAAGGCCTAAAGACTGATATATATATATATATATATATATATATATATATATATCGATGCAATGAGAACGAAAATAATATATAAACTCTAACATTCACAGTATTAATTCAAAAGAGAGCTCAATACCGATAGTAGAGCAATAATTATTTATTATAATTTTATCATATAGACAAAAACAGTTTACTCACTACAAAGCAAGCCGTATATCATATGGCTTGCTTGCAACCAGAATCACTTTTGGTACTCACCCGTCGAGGGGCAATTGAAATGCACCGAAACGAAGTTGCATCTTTGTAGTGAGTAAACTATTTTTGTCGATATGATAAAATTATATATATATATATATATATATAAATATATATATATATATATGTGTGTGTGTGTGTGTGTGTGTGTGTGTGTGTGTGTGTGTTTGCTCGTGCAAAAGAGAAAGGCAATAACAAAAAGTGTGTTTCGACAAATAGATCTATGAATTAATTACATCGAACATGGAATTTTGCATTTTTGTTGAAAGCGGTCCTTGTAATTAAAGTGCTCACTATCAAGAGATACAACATTAAGAGACAAAAAAATTAACATGAACGTAAATGTACACTTATCTTGCTTGTACTCTGAATTTTGCGGAGTTTAATCCCACCAGCCAATCACGTCTCGTAACTAGCGGGTTTAATCTCCGTATAATTCAGGATAAACGCAAGTCCTTCTTAAAATATTACTGGTTTAAATGTTATATTTAGTAGAAAAATGAGACTGAGTAAAGATCTGTTTTTAAAGAGTATAAATTACAAACGATGCCTTTAATTAGACAAATCATTTAAATTTTTTGACTGTATATAGAAATTTTCGTCCATTTTTGAATAATAATAATCTCTCTCCACACACACAAACATACACACACACACATTTACAAAATTTGTGTGTGGCCTGTATGTGTGTAAATGTGTGTTTTGTTTGTAAGTTTCAAAAATATTTATTATTAGATATATAACAATGTCGGAGGTGCGTTGTTTCGACGGTTGTGTTTGTTTTTCATGCCTACCGCCAATTGTACTTCTGGTAATATTATCAATCCTGATGTTTAGCTGCAACAAATATGACCAGCGACAGTATTTCCTTGATTATCTGAAACTCTGTATTCCGAGCTTCGATTATCCGGAGGTGGAAAACGAAAACGAAAATTGAAATGAACAGGACATTTTTCAATCAGAAATGAACTCAATTGGATTTGGTACAAGTCAGTATAGTTCATGCAGTGAAATTTGAAACAGTAACACAGAAATATATTTGCAGTAAGCCATTATGAGGCTATGAAAAATTCTGCTTCAGTTTTCTTTTGAAAAATAGAATTTACTAAGCGTGCGTGTTATTTATTTATATTTTATAAATACATCTTACTTATTATAAAACGCAGATTGTGTGTGTGTGTGTGTGTGTGTGTGTGTGTGTGTAACGTTTATATATTGGATCGGATTTCCTACATTTTTCGACCGATTTCAACAAAACTTCACAGGACTACATAAAATTACCTTGTGGTGGTTCTAACAGCGCCAAAAATGGGGAAAATATAATTGCTTTTCCATAAAATCAATTTGAAAACACGATTAAGAGACATCGTGAAAATGGAAAACTCACAACTCACATCGGGTTGTTTGTGTGTGTGGGTTCCTTTAAATATGAGAGCGGATTTCCTATATTTTTCAGCCGATAAAACAAAACTTCACTTTTTTTTTTTTTTTTTGGCAGGTAGTGTTTCTTATTCTCTTGCACACTTTTTTCTTTTATTTTTAACGTTCAGAATGCTTTAAAAATTCCATTTACAAGACAATTATTTATAATAAAATTCTATTCAATCGGGAGACTCATAACGATTGAAAAACAATGTTTTTGTTTTTTGAGTTTGGGTTGACCAATTCGTAAAAAAAAAAAAAAAAAAAACTAATTAAGACATGCGTGTCCGTCAACCTTAAACAATAATCTAACGATCTCTACTGATTGTACGAATACAAACATTGGAATAAATTTTTTATCTTTAGGGAAAAATAATGATATCTAAACATACACAAGTCCTAACTAAAAATAATAACCGGAACGGGAAACTACTTTAAATACACATGGTGTCCAATTTTTTTACTGTATTCAATAAGTAAAAATCATAAATTGTAAAAGATTATTATTACAGAAAGGCTACTAAATGAATAAGATTTGTTAGATCATAATTAATAAACCCAAATAAAGTTAATATTTTTTGTATTAGAAACAACGAGTGGAAAATATATTCAAATCAGAATTCTAATTATGAATCACCACAAGCAAAATATGCATTTTTTTTACTGTATTCAATAAGTAAAAATCATAAATTGTAAAACTAAAAGATTACAGAAAGGCTACCTACATTTTTCAACCGATTTCAACAAAACTTCACTTTTTTTTTGGCATGTAGTGTTTCTTATTGTCTTGCACACTTTTTTTTTATTTTTACATTCAGAATGCTTTAAAAAATTCCATTTACAAGACAATTGTTTATAATAACATTCTATTCAATCGGTAGAGACTCATAACGATTGAAAACAATGTTTTTGTTGAGTTTGGGTTTGACCAATTCGTCAAAAAAAAAAAAAAAACTAATTAAGACATGCGTGTCCGTCAACCTTAAACAATAATCTTTGTCAATTTTATTTTTCAGTCTTTATGATGGTGGATACTTGATCTATCTCTTACTGTTATATCCCCGGGCAACGCCGGGCTCTACTTCTAGTTTATTATATATTGTATATTAGATAGATAGATAGATAGATAGATAGATAGATAGATAGATATGAACTTCTTATTCGATATGCTACGACCCTTTAAACCATGGACTAGCATAGCTCTTCAAAAACTCTTATTTCCTGTGGGCCTTAGCAGTTTTTTTTTTTTTTTTTTTTACCTTTTGCTAAGTCTACTGGTCTCCGTTCTGTCATCCATTCAAATGTCAGGTAAATCAGGTAACTGAGGTAAGTGACTCGCTGATATCTCTGTTTCTTTCCCCCTCGATGTCCAAGGACTTTCATCTCTCTTCTTGATTCTGAGTATTAGGGTTCTTTTTGTTGTCATTTTATCTAAGACTTACTCGTTTCTTCTACACTCTGTCCATGGAATTAGTAGAATCCTTCTGTAGAACAACATTACTCTTGCCTCCAGTTTTTCTTCACTTGTGGAGAGATGGATATCACATCGCAATCCAGCACTTTTTCCTTTCTTTTTCTAACAATTTCTTTCTACTTCTCAGCATTTAGCTTAGCATTTGGAATAAAAATTTCGCTTATATAATTTGTGTTCTAATTTCCGTGTCGCAATTTCTATCCTCTGCTAAAAGACTTTTCATTTGTGAAAAACATATGTAAACACACTGAGAAATAAAGATATGAACAGAGATAAAATAGATAGATAGATAGATAGATAGATAGATATAGATAGATAGATAGATAGATAGATAGATAGATCCGAACGGACTGATATAGTTTTAAAATGACTTAATCAAATGACAATAATAAACTGATAGAGAATAGCATGAAACAGACTGTCGAATCTGGTAATGATGACAATTATTATATATATATATATATATATATATATATATATATATATATATATATATATATATATCCATAGACACTTAACCAGACTAGACGATGTCATCTTCCGATTTAAATTTAGACACCCCAACCTTACCCTGACTTGACGTTTTTGAATATAAGAGAGATATTGATACAAATTATGAACCCTTACGCCGCTCTTCTCTAAATAATTGCTCTAGCCGTTACCATAGTGATTTTAATTTTAATAATGAATATGCTTATAAAACGCGTAAATTTCAGGAATTAGTTATTCCCCAAAAAATTTTGCTTGAAGATTTAACAGCGCTTCAGTTTAATTCAAATAATTATATTGAAGTTTTCGGCTCTTGTTTTGAAACATGAGAACACTTATGTAGCGTTAATCATATTTTTTCATATATAAATTATATATATATATATATATATAAAAATAAAAGAATATTTTTTATTTTTCACACCCTTTCTTGAACCAGTCTTAATTGTCTTATTAATCCCTTCATGCAGAAATTTTTCACTAATAGTTCAAAATTTAATCATTTAGACACTAAACACAAAAAAAGAATGTCTAATATTGAGAATATTTAACATCGAATGATAAGCATAAGAAAAAAATAATTCATTTTAATAATATGTTTTTCTATCCACTCTTGAAGGTCAGAAAATTCTTAACCCGTGAAATAAAAGTATGGAAACTAAAGCATAATATATTTTTAAAGAAATCCACATTACAAAGCAAAACGTTTGCGTTTTCTCAAAAATTTTTTAGTATACACACATTTTTCTCTTGTTGGAACTACTATAACCTCTTCCTTTATATATATATATATATATATATATATATATATATATATATATATATATATGTGGGTAAAATTTTTCGCCATACTATATTTATAATTTTTAAATTGCCAGTTGTTTGTTATTGGCTTTGTCGACTGCAGGCCCAAAACATCTGGGCGCCATCTGTTTTGGAAAACATACCATGACACAATTTATATCCGCCAGAAATGTGAAAACGGCATGGTGTACTGCATGACATTTCGAGCCGGAATATCCAATAAGAACGTTTCAGTGTGTTTGGATGTCAATGTGAGGAAAGTGCAGAAGACTTTTTTACTTTTATGGATGATTCTAATGGTGATTATGAATGTCTTTGAAGTTTCACTAGTTATCAAAATGTTATACCTTCACTCATCTTCCCACATTACTAAAACGCAATAAGTGCTTTGAGGAAAAATGCTACCCTGGGTCAAGAGGGTTTTAACTGAAAGACACTTTGAAGAACAGGACCCACAAAGTGTTTCATTATGCCACATTTGAGGAGATTCTAGTCATGGCTGTCAGGCAATGTCTTCGACCAGATCATTTGATTATAGTGCCATTTCAAAAATCTCCTTGATTATCATATTTGAAGGCAATTGAGCAGAAAGACGCAAAATTTCCTTTAAACACAAAATTGAACTGAATGCATTTTATGGCATTATTCACCAACTTAAGGAATTGTTCTGAAGGGTTGCTGAATATTCCCAAGTCGTCTGGAGGCCGTGGTTGAAGCCAATGTTCCTCATTGAAGAAATTTACAGCTGGAGGAGTATTTCAAGATATTTTTTGTTTTTTCGTAAATATACTTTTAAAATTGAATGTATGTCAACTGTGATTTTCGATTTTTTAATTTAGACGATTATTTATCTATCATGCCACATATATATATATATATATATATATATATATATATATATATATATATATATATATAAATATATATATATATATATATATATATATATATATATATATATATATATATATATATGTATGTATTATATATATATATATATATATATATATATATATATATATATTCCGTATATTTTTATTTTATATTTTCATTTGAACATGTTCTGATTAAAAAATTTTATACATGTTTCATTTACTTCAATAATTAGATCCTTCGTTTTTTTTTCTTTCTTGCTGTCTTTAATTTCATTAAACAAGAAAGTTTATACGTGATTACGAAAGGATCTTATTTCTTTTTAAAATTTTTAGTTGTCTAAATTGCGAACTTTCACTTGTTTAAATATATATGATAAACATAAATAGGCATACACACACAGACATAGACAAACAGACAACTACAGACAGACACACACACACACACACACACATTTACACATATATATATATATATATAATATATATATATATATATATATATAAATATTTCTATATATATATATAATATTTTTTATATAATAATCATATAAGAAAGTATATTTGATCTTTCAAAAAAAAATTATTTTGTCTAAATAATCAAACCAAAATATCAAAATTGGAAAAAAATCTTCTGATAAAAAAAAGAAAAACTAAGAACATGTATCGTTAGCCGAAAATAATCATCTTCATTTTAAAAAAAATAGTCCAAAGAAAAAAACCGATACGAGAATGAGCAAAAAAACTTTTCTAAAGTGCTCAATACAGTATTTAGAGCAGACCTTTTATAAACTTAGAGAGCCACTTATTTTGGTTATACCTTAAGGTTTCGCCTAAGCAATCCGTCGGGGAAAGCTGATTAAAAAATTATATTAAAATGAAATTAATACTTATAGTTATAAATAAAAGAAAAAAATGGTCTAAAATACGTGCCCCCTTAAAAAAAAAAAAAAGATGATAAAACGATTTTTTTTATATTATATATATATAATATATATATATATTTATATATATATATATATTTAGATAGATAGAGAGAGATGAGAAAAGAGATTTTAACGATTTTTTCATTTTTATTATGAAGGTATATGTTTTTTTTTTTTTTTTTTTTTTTTTTTAAAACACAAAATGCTGCTCCAACAATGGCAACTTTTTCATTGCACAAAGCATTTCACCTACGCCTTTTGTCTTCGTTTATTACCTATTTTACGACAAGGACCATTCCATTAATATTATAAATAGATTGTTTCTTATTGCCACTAAATTACAGTAGTTTGTGAACCAAAAGCCACTTCGAACAAATATATCCCTTTCAAACCTATGAAAGGTTTTGTTTACCTAAATTGAGATAAAGTCTACTAAAGAAAAATAGGAATCAAACCTGCTCCCTTTTTTTCCATTAGGGAAATCCTATGACCCAGTCTGACAGGACAAGGTTTGGATTTGCTTATTTAACGAAAGTACGTTTCTCGTTGGGACTTCTACGCGTCTATAACTGGTAGCCTCAGTTTCGTACTCGAAACGTAAAGAACAAGAAGTTTTTGAAAGGATTTTTATCTAATCGTATTTTCTATTACTATAAACCTTGAGAATTTGACGGTTTTTCACGAGAGCAAATCTAAAAAACAATCATATATTTTTTTTGATTCTATGAAATTAACAGCTTATAAATTTCTTTCTTTTAAAAAAATTTTCGAAGATGCGGTATTTGTTTTCTTTTGCTTTAAACCCTTTGTTTACGTCATCAAACGTGTGATGCTCGGCGTTATATAAAATGTTTGAAATAATTATCACATGGGATATGTTAGTATAATATTGCTTCTAGGTTATACTATGGCTCCTAACTGATGTTTGCAAATAAGTATTTCACTTGTTTGCATAAACTTCATATGTTTTTCATTTTAAAGTTTACCAGGGAAATTATCCTTTATTAGGAAAGTGTTTATTAATATTCGCTAATAACAATAACTGCCTACAGACTCAGTGAGACAAACTATTTATGTAAAATTTATTTATGCATTTACATATATATATATATATAAAAAATTGTGTGTTTTCGTTGTGAAATTCATAGCAATAAAGATCACATTTTGCAAAAAACCGCTAGGCTAATAAATATCTATATATATATATATATTAATATATATATTACCTATTTAACGAGAACATGTTTCTCTTTGGGACTTTTCTTTCTTTTATCAATTTCATTTTGCCCAAATTAAAATGCCAATTTATACGCAGGGGCTTAACGAGTTAGAAAATTAAAAAAAAAAAAAAAATAAACAAAGGACCGAAGAAAGTCTAAAAACTGAACAGGTTCAGGAAGATAGAAGATGGTGATTGGCGTTACATTTAACTCTTTGAATGCTGTAGTTATCAGAGACGCAAGGAAACGGAAGGGAGTTCAACAAGCACGAAGTGCGAGAAAAGAAACTGTTGAAGTAGAAATGGCGGTTACATTTACCGAAATCAACAGTAAATTTGAAAAGACCTAGATAACAATCTAGAAGAGACATTAAACAACGCACGAATACGAGCACCGGTTTAAAAGCTCATTCGTAGGAAAGACAGAGTGAAACCACGTCAGGTCGGTGAGAAAGTGACTGAAGCCGAGATGCCATGTCAGGATTGATTATATTGCAGATTATTCTTCCGATCTTGTCAAGAACCTCGAGATGGGTAACAGGAGCACTGCACTGGATATGACGACTGTGTTCAATGCACGGACGAATGGTAGATTTTTACATGTGCATGAGATGGACTCTAACGTTAAAAAAAACCTTCTGGCACGAAACAGTGACCTAACTTCCCATGCAGTAAATGCAGCTACCGATTCCATGCAGTTGTTGCACTTCAATCTAAGCTTTCGGCTTACATAAGACATTATCAATCAATTATTAACTAATCCCAAACATATTAATCTGTTATATCGTAGTCAAATGCATACTATCTATAAACAAGATGAAAATATATTAAAAAAAATTAGTAAATACTAATATATCTACAACAGATCCTAACAAAAATTAGGTTAATCATATACTAGACTAAATCTAGTATATCCAACTTAATTATTTGCAATAATTCTTCGCCCCCTCCCTGTTAGCGACATACTTTACAAATTCAAGTGTCCTTTGGGAGATTGTATCTCCAATGGATTAAATAATATCTATGCTGGTCACACCACA